AAATTAATAATTTGGCTAGGAATGAATTTATTCAGTACATTACGAAAGCATGTATACAGGGTGATTCATATTTGAAGGCTGCAGGGGGCAAAGTTCAATAATTTTTTTCTATTAGTTAATATATCTTGCTCACTTTTGAAGATATCAAGTAGAAATTTAGTGTGGTTGATACTTCCTTGAAGATTATCATTTTAACATCTACATATGGATACGATTCAATAACAGTTAGAACATTGAAATTCATCTTTGAAAAACATATAGTTCAAAAACAATTTTCTTCTTTAAAGGTGAAACCTATCATGTCTTCCGTAACACACAAATGATTCCGGATAATTGTAACACCTTTTTGTTGTTGAATTCATTTGATTCTATGTGAAAGTAAACTAATCGTAATCATTCGTAATCATATAGATTAGTAGTTATTCAAACAAGCAAATCCCCATAATACTTATACACCAGGGAAAAAACTAGGTTTCATCAGCTTAACCACACATTTATAAGCATTTAAAAGTTAATCTACTGTTTAATTATAAGCTCGTATTATCGTACACAATCCAGGACTTGAGAAATCATCAGATCCTCTAATCTATGTCGGGTAGCACACAATACCAGCATATCATGCCAAGCATTTATTGACTCCCAAATCGAGCTAACTTGGCAGGACCATTATACCAGCAGGTAAAAAAGATATAAGGCACAAATCGGAAACCAGAAACTGCATAGTCTCACGCCCTGCCATTCGGAAACAATTGCCAATAACTGTTCAACCCAACCCCACTCTGTCATCCCTTGCATCTATCTTTCTCGCTCTCGCCCTTGGATGACCCTGTACAACCCTAATAGTCGCCCTTAGAGAGTATTATCACAAGCAGGCACAGAAACATAGTCAGTTTACAAATATATAGCCAAGTGGACAGGTCGATATAGTATTTGAAGGTTTTCTTTACATTTGGTATCTCGAATTCCGTGATATTTGATACCTGCTAGATGACAATACTGCTTGGATAACATTCTGGTGTTCGTACGGAGTTTTTCAATGGTGTTTGGATCGTCAAAGGAACAAAAGACTGTGCAATTTTATGACTGTGATATCTTGATGGTGCTACCTAGTTTGTGATATTGTGTAACAGGAATCTCTTTTCGACGTGTCTTTCTTGATAAGGTATGTTTAGACACAAAATATTGAGTAGGTAACCAACCAGAGCCGTATTTAGAGGTCTGGAGGCACTGGAGCAACAAAAAAGTTGAGGACCTCTGGCTCCTAATTATTTTCAATATAAAATCAACACATTTTTTCAGTTGATAATTTATTGCGAATCCAACAAAATTATTTAAACAACATTTTTCAATATAGTCATGCAAAATCAATAGTTACCTGAAATTAAATGAGAAAAATCGTTGATGATTGCGCTGAGACCTAGTACTCATCGAACTGAATCACTTTGAATGTTCAGTAAGGATAGCTTTGATAGACGGTTTTGTCCTAACGTAGTTCAAAGCCTATTTTTTATTATTATCATTTTTGAAAATGAGCACGTTCCATCAGTGCAATGTGATACGATCAAAACTATACAGTGCTTTTCTTTAATGCTCCTTTTATTTTTTGAACGCTTCAACGAAAAAAATTGAAACTGCAAGTTTCAATTTGTTCGGTTGACCCGTTCAAAAAATAGGAGAGGCTGACATCAAAGAAAAGCACTCTTTTGTGTAAGCCCCAGGATGCCCTCCCCTAAACCCGGCACTGTAACCAACTCGGTAACCAACTGATTCTCAAATGTATTGAAGCGTAGTATACAAACAGAACCCTGCCAAAGAAATTTGATAGTCTGATCTGATCTTGTGCAACAAAATTATTACGGAAGCACTGTTCAACGTTTATCCTTGCATGAGGTCACGTGTGGTTTATCATTATTTGTCAACCAAAGATATTGTAAAAGAGTGTAGGTATCTATGTATATTTTTGTGCTCTGTAAATGGAAATGGCATCGATATACAGTCTGACCCATTTATTGAAAGCGTTAATCTTTTATATTTATGTATATAGCGATTTTGACGAACTTTTTTCTCAAATGTTGAGAGGAGAAAGGTGTATTTTTGTGTTGAGCGGTGTCCACATTTTCTAAATGAATACCAAGGCCTACTAAAGATCATATTCAAAGGTTGAAAAATCCAGAATCCATATAATGGCGATTTTTAACCAAAAGTTCTGCGTACGCCACTGGAATCGACGTCATTTGAAATATATCTGTACCAATTTTCATGAAAAAGTCAAATATCTCTCTCGGCAAGATAAGGCATGTCTTGTTTTTTATTCTTGAATAACTTGATGGAAGTTTGAATCAGGTATAGAGAATCCTCAAACTCAACTTTCTTTCATATGGTGTCAAAAAATAGTAGGTAGTCATTCTATTTCACTTTGGTGCGTGCTCTAATTTTGAACCAATAATACAAGATACAAATGGCGGTGTAACTATTATTGTCAGAAAAATCAAAATATCTCGAAATCTGTGTTAGATGAGTTAAAATAAATAAGGAACCTCAGAATGAGAAGGTCGAAGGAAGCTAATTCAACCGCGTGAAAAAATATCGGTTTCTATATATCCGTTTCTATACAACATAAGAAAGTTGGTACCGACTTTTGGCACAACCTATATAGCTGGAGGACAAAAGTATATATTTCAGGTTGATGGGATCTTAAACCAACTGCAAGATGGAAAACTTTCGGAAAACTTCTAATGTGTGTGAAACACCCTGTATAGGTAGCTACATTCATAACAGAATGGTATATAGTTTTCCAATTTACTTTTTGAAATGACATTTTTTTTGTTGACAATCATATCCATCTACCTGATGCCAAGCATGGTGCATTTGTTTTCGGAAAATAGTATTTATTTGGATTAGTATCCTTGTAGGGTTTCCGCTCGGCTACCTTTTCCTGGTAAAGATAAGAAACTGCTAATGCTTGTAGTTTGCCACTGAAATGCGGCGGTGTCGACACTGGGGGATTATTCCTTCTTGCCAAATTTAATCCTGCAGCAAACCAGAATTTCATTTCAACTCCAACTCACCGACGATCATTTCTATGATTCGAATGCAAGAAGGTTCATAGAAACCTATACCTACCTAGTTTTTTTTTCGAGACTTCTCCAGTGAATCAATAACCAAGGTCATTCTGAACTATGCTGGTGCCCTTGGGCATACAATAATTTTGGGCTGTAGCAGGACAAGAGTGTCGATACTCTTTACTCTTCATGTGTTAGTGATCTTTCTATTCAAACTATATATTTACCTATTCATCAAATGAATAGATGCAGCCTGCATCCACATTCTAGTCCTAAATTGTTTGCGTGCTTATCAGTCCGGTACCCATGATAGTTTTTTTTTGTTGAGCATTCGAGTTGGTATGGAAGAAATTGCGAGAAAGAGAGTTTGAATGTAATGTCAATCTTTGCGTAATCCGATGCTATTTTGTTAGTTCGAAATAGCGTATATGAAGAGTAGTCAAGAAGTCAACCTTCTGATTTTGACAATAATATTATCCTAAGATTATTGGTGCCAGGTCCTTTCTAGGTATGTGCATATCATATTTTATTTTGTATTGAATGTTGTCATTGGGAACAATTTCCATCAGGTACTTGGTTAGGAACACTTTTATTTAAGTGCTGTATTTCCTTTTTTGATGAAAATATATTTCAAAATATCCGAAGCAATCATTGATTGTTCCTCCCTCAGTTTCGACACTCTATACACCTGAGAATTTTTTACGTAACCGGCAAATCATACTTGTCGGTTTTACCACATGGCCCTTTGGAAAGTAAAGATAGCGAATTATAGTAACATTTTCCTATTGTGATCTTCTATTCATTATGGGTGATAAAATATACAATATAATATGTTATCAATGACATCACAAAAATATTGACGCGGTGGCGCTGTTATATAGGTACTGTGAGAGAAATTTTCGGTCCTTTAGGGCCCCACTGAGGTGGAGCCCCTGGTCACGGGCCCCTTGTGCCTTTATGATGAAGACGGTATTGTCAATAACTCTTTCTTAACAGAATGCGAATGTGGATTTTGTGGGTCAATAATAAGAGCACTGAAGACTGATGCAGTTAATGATCCGTTTTTCTTGGGATAAACGACACTAATAAACACATAATAGAAAACACTCGAAGGTCTCTTCCAGTTTTTGAAGAATAATTTTTGCGAAGTATGCAGCTCGTATTGTCAGTTGGTTCTATATTGAGGATACCTTTAACCGTTATATAGCAGTGCCAGCAGTGGATGTCAACAGTTGAGTTAAAAAACATCATGAATCATCCAACTGCACCCAATTTAAATACTCACATCTTCTTGATGGGTATTATTCAAGTGTCATAGGATGACGTACAAATTTTGAAATTTTCATAAAAGTAATATCACAGATAATATAGCTATAATTCATCATTTTGCTAACCTGACTGACTTTGCTTCGCTATCAATCGTTGAAAACACTAACAAATTTTCTCCGGCTTGTGATTGGTCAGATTATTTCAATGAGTGAAATAGTCATTGCAGGTGCATGCGTTCTTACAACTTCCGCCTCAGTAGAGAATCCGATGCGAATATTTGTTATCCCTCAGAATCTTGGCGTGTTCATACGTTTACTATCGATATACTTAGTTCTTTCCAGCCTAATCTAGAAAACACATACTTCTTAATAGTGTTTATCTTTCATTGGCATCAATGTTTTCTGTAGATGACACGAGGTGGCAGTTTATTACTCCCCAGCTCTAATAGATTACGTCCTCGATCACACAAAAGCCTCTCAGGCATTCCCAAGGAACCACTTCCTACTTGGTTTTCCGCGCACTCTCGGCTACGCGGCGTAGTGCAAAATATCACTCGTGCACAATATGTCACTTTCCACACTATTCTGTACAAATGTCTTCGTTTTTATTCGTGGTGAAGGTATATCCAACAGAGAGATTTCTCACAATCATTCTTTTGTTGTTTCCCAGTGAAAATATCCAGCATCAAGACGACTCCCTTACCAGGCGAGGACCCGTCGTCGGCCAGCGGCGGCTACTCGGGAGGCGGCCTCTTCTCGCACATGAACATGGCGGGGTACCTGAAGAGCCCCCCCGGCGCGGGGGGCCCCCACCACGGCCACTTCTCCTCCCACCCCGGCCTCGGCGGCATGGCCATGCCCGGTCTGGGGCCCTTCGGCCTGTCTCATCCTTTGGAGCCGGTGCCCTTCCCTCAAGGTAACTATCTAGCGATTTTTCTGATTTCACAGTACTCTTCTATGTAATTTTCGTATCATTTTGCAATTTTTGTCATTTAGTGTCATTTATTGTCATTTATTGTCATTTATTGTCATTTATTGTCATTTATTGTCATTTATTGTCATTTATTGTCATTTATTGTCATTTATTGCCATTTATTACCATTTATTGTCATTTTTCGTCATTTTCGTCATTTTACATTTTTTGTAACTTTTTGTAATTATCAGTATTTTTTTATTCACTTTTTATTTTTTACTTTCATTCTTCTTTTCATTTTTCAAAAATTGTTTCTTATTAGTCTACAGAATTGGAATAGTCTGACAAACTAACTTTCGCAGATTTTCTCTCTTGAAATTAATACTAAGTAGATTGATTATTCACTAATCCCGTTTCCTATAACAGACAAATATATTATCGTGACAAAAAACGCCCCGAGCCATAGCCTCGTTATCAACTATCCGATTTCGAAAAACAAAAAAGCAAATGAAATGATTCATCAACTATCACAAGGTGACACTAGTACTAGTAGCAGTAGTAGTGGGTGGGGAGGCTGTAGCCAAGCAAGTAGGCCCTGATGGGCTCTTTTTGCTAACCCCTGCTCTCCACATATCTACGCTTGCTTCATCTAGATTTCCTTTAATAATCTCCCTGACCATCTGATGAAGGCCAATATCTCCGTCCACTCTAATATGATCACCTCGTCCTGTTGTCGACTCCAATGATTTCAACTCCAAAATGGAGTGATGTTTCTTCGTCTTCCCCACATCTGCGGCAAGTGGGGTTGTCCTCTATTCCCATAAGTGTTAGTTGTCTGTCTAGCTTGTTGTGTCCCGTGAGTACTCCTATGAGGAGGCAGAGTACCGACCACGAATTGCTTGGCCTGCCTGAAACCTGTGATATTCCTCTAGTATTCTCCTAGTGCCTTGTCTGCCCATTCATCAAGGGCTGACGTAGTTTGGCTCCTTGCTATACCTAGTACAGGCTCCGGTCCCAGAAACAGCTCCGAGGATCCGGCCCTAGCAAGTTCGTCTGCTGTTTCGGTTCCGGGCACCCCACTGTGACCCGGGACCCATACCAGTTCAACTTCCTTTGATTCGGCTAATATCTCAAGGGCATTTCCACATTCTTGTACCAAAGCCGAGCTTGGTCTGTGATGACAGATAGCCTTGAGCGAGACCTTGAGTGTTGCGTGACTATTCGAACAAATGTAGATCTTCTGCTCTGGTCCCTCTTTCACCTCTTGCCTCTCTGCCAGGACCAGGATGGCGAACACTTCAGCTTGGAAAACTGTGGTGTATTCTAGAATTTCTAGAGTATAGCTTTCTCGTATGTTTCTCCCTTCGAGATAGATCCCTGCGCCCAAGGTTTGTTCGTCAGTCAGACGGGATCCGTCTGTGTAACATAAGCATCCTAAGCGAAACTCCACTGTATTGCTTCTCCATTCTTCTCTGCTTGGACAAGGTGACACTAACAATTTCTTTTTCCAATTTTGACTCTTACGACAGCGAATGTCAACTTTTTTATTTCAAATAGCCTTGTATATTTCTTATTTCTTTCTGATAATAAATGATCCATTTCTTGACGACGGGCATACATTTTTTTCAACAAATTTTGTGCAAAAATCAACTTTTTATACATCGTTGTATTCAGAAAAAAAAACTCCATCAGAAAAAAATACTTGAAAAATATATAATGTCATTTGAGAAAGCAATCGCTGTATATTCATAAAATCTCAAAATTCATTTCATTCTGAAACAATTGGAATTGAACTAATAGGTAGGTACTATTGCCAATGGATACTACTGAATTCAAATGTTTTATTCTTGTTAATTATATTCACACTCTATATCATTGTTCAACTTACTCTGATGAATCATCAAATTATGTGGATACAGATTGATTAATCTGTCCCACCCCTTCGAGCACTATCATCAGGGTAACTATCTAGCGATTTTCGTGTTTTGTACAGTGAAAGACCGCTTCTAGTGATTTTTTTCTCTAGAATTCAATTACTCTGATACTGTAAATTGTTCTAAAAAACAAATTGTTCTAAAGTTGTTCTTATCCGTCATTCGGTTGCCCCCTTACGATCGACCCTCAGAAATCTTGGTCTTGGACGGGGACCTTACCTTCTAACGTGTGATCCCAAACACTTTCTTAGGCCATCAGAAAAATTCTGCCGTCGTGGGGATCGAACTCACCTACCGGCAATCCATCAGTTTTAAAATCTTCTCCTGAAGATGCTAACATAGTTAGCGAAACACGTGTCGAGGTGTATAAAATTGGTTATCGTGCCAAAGGTTCCAGTCTTTGATATCTCAGAAATCTCTTCGAATCCACAGGGGGTGATTGGTCAATGTGACATTATTAACTACATTCACCAGATTCTCCATTATTCAATTATTACGTGGTGCCAAACAATTACTCTACTTTGTCTCGAAAATTCTATATAAATTTCTGAAATTTTGTTCACTCAATAACTTGCTTAGAATCTTTTACTTTTACACATAACGCAACAGTCACATGACAATGGCATTACAGAATCATGAAACATAAAACTGTGGAACAAACAGATAATGGTTCGTGTCTTGAGCACAATCCTTTGGATGTTGAAAGATCCGAATATCATCCGAACCTACTACGAATGATCCGAAATTATCCGATAATTTCTTGGATCCGAAAAGGATCCGCTAGCACCTGAAATTATCCGTAAAACGGACAATTATCAGGCAAACAGCAACACTTTACAACATTCAACGGCAAATTTCAGTGATAAGGAAAGTTGTAGGCTGTTTGCTCAACCAGTATCGATCGAGGGGTGTTTCGGCTCGGCAATCCCGAAAATGCATGCCCAAATAATCCCCATTGAAGGCGGGTGGAGCTCGGCTAGCAGCTGGATGCAACAAGAACAAGGCCCTATAATCCTCGCGGACACACATGCACACATAAAGAGTTGAAATTGTGATCTCGAACCTCGAACAATTCAGTTTTGATTCCCGGCTACCGGTATTGAATTTTATATATGTCCCGCTCATAATTTACCAACATAAAGCCGAGATCCTCATCTGTGAGAAACACCGACCCGAAGAATAATTTCGATGATTTGTTAACTTGATTTTCCTCGGCCCAGCTACTGGATACAAATTCGGATGCAAATTAAAGAGTTTACGTCAGGGTGTCATGATAAATGAGTTATTTGGATTTAAAATTAGAGATACTCCACCTGGTGGATACGAGTCGCACGTATTTTATTATATAGATTATAGGAACCTTTCCTGTATTGGGTCTCTTTTTCTTTCAACCTTTTTCTGGACAACGGGCTACCGGTTTTGTTGTTGGGACGCCATATAATAAATTGAATTGGAGAATATAATATGACTGATGTATCCATCAAAAAATGCCAGTGAAGCCATCAGATTTGATGATGATTTGATGAGTGAGAGTTTACCTAGATGATTTCTTATATTTGGTCAGTCAGGTGACTCGAATCCCAACCATATAGCATATTATAATGCTCCTATTGTTAACGAATTGATTACTTTTCAATATATGCGAGTATCAGTATCAACGAAGTCTATGCCGCAAACCAAATAAACCAATACATATGAATGATAATGTCAGTTTCCGTTTCAAAAAGATTCCTTTTTAGCTTACTGAGTCCATTACATACCTATATACTATGTGGATGGTGTCTGAAAGTTTCCATAGGGAAGAGCAGATTAGATTTCAGATTCCCTTCAACTTGGATCATCAGTATTACGTTACGTCTTTTTTTTCTCGTTCAATTGGATCTGTTGAATTTGATTATAGTAAATGCATCATAATAATGGCCGTACTACTGTTGATTTCACGATTCCTATTCTTATCTGAAGATTTGCTTTATGTAAGCTCTTTATACTGAACAATACAAGCAATTAGGTGTAATTGGATTACATACACCATTAGTATTGACTTCATCATTAGTAGGTATATGTTTCTACATTGGCAGCACATGATGATGAACGATATATTCATTAAAGGAATGAAGGAACGTAATGTATGGGCAAATGAGTTAGATAATTGGATTAAGTATAATATTAATTGACATTGCCGGTTTTTGGTTTATTATTCTCATGATAGGGTGACTCCCTCTGAAGAAATTTGAAAGAGTACATATACATGCAGCTTCTTGGTTATACATTATATTTTTCTCATATATATACGTCATGAAACAGTGATTGGTACAATATTCAAATTGATAAATTTCTAGTTGTCCACTACTCCTGGTATATTCATGTATTGATATAAAGTTCCATCAGCACAGTCCATCAGTTTCATCAAATCATGATCAAAGAATCAACGAGAGTATCTAAATAATTTATACACTATCACTGTCATGTCCAAGTTATCAGCTGTCAATATGGGGACTTCCGGAGGATCCAGATTGCTGTTTCGAATCTGAAGATGAAACAGCAGCATTTTATGTGTCTGATTCTCTACTGACAGAACTTGTTCTTTGAAAGTCGAAAAAGTAGCATTATCGACATTGGACAGTTATTCACTTGCTCTCCTTGAGTTGCTCTGATAAGAAGACTTCTATATTCTGATACCTTGCTCGAGAGATGTTTCTGTGACCAAGTGTTTCGTTGCTTTCACATAGCTGATGATCACTACACTTGTTGTGGTATACTTCTTGAAATCATCACCTCTTTTATTGCTTACTGCGATAGCAGAATGAACTGCTCTGGACCTTTATATATATCAAGGTCACTATAGACAGTTGAAGAAGTTTTCGAGACCTAATCACAGTATTTCAGTATTTGAGATGATATTGTGGGACATTTTGGGTCGTAATCAGAGATGAGCTTGAAAGCTGCTTCATTGAGTTGTTGGTCATTATTTTCATATCATCTTTCTCGATAGCTATCAATAACTCCGATCTATAAGCACATGTGCCTCTCAAATAGATCATGCATGCAACAAATAATTGACATGGATGA